CCCTGAGGGTGAAAAAGCATTTCGACATGATGTCTGTTCTACATTGTGGCTTGTTGAGCTTGAAGCCGTCGCTCTCTTTATATATATATATATTATATATATATATATATGTCGTACCTAATAGCCAGAACGCACTTCTCAGCCTACTATTCAAGGCCCGATTTGCCTAATAAGCCAAGTTTTCATGAATTAGTGTTTTTTCGTCTACCTAACCTACCTAACCTAACCTAACCTAGCTTTTTTTGGCTACCTAACCTAACCTTACCTATAAATATAGGTTAGGTTAGGTTAGGTGGGGTTGGTTAGGTTCGGTCATATATCTACGTTAATTTTAACTCCAATACAAAAAAATTGACCTCATACATAGAGAAAAGGGTTGCTTTATCATTTCATAAGAAAAAAATTATAGTAAATATATTAATTCAGGAAAACTTGGCTTATTAGGCAAATCGGGCCTTGAATAGTAGGCTGAGAAGTGAGTTCTGGCTACTAGGTACGACATATATATATATATATATATATATATATATATATATATATATATATATATATATATATATATATATATATATATAATGTGTGTGCGCGCGTGTGTGTATATTATATGTATATTTAAGTATACATATTGTTTAGAGTAAGTCTATTCATACACATATGAGAGTATATTAATGAAATTCGGAGAGGGAGTCGGCGGTGTAGCACTGTCTTCGTCAGGACCAAACAAACCGTCGACAATCAGCATCAACAGTCTCGCTATAACGACCGCATTAATTCTCACCAAAGCGTTTTCCGATCCGGGCGGAACTGTGATTGGTTGCGCTATGCTGGCCTGACATAGCGTGTATAGCGGCCTGGCGCTATACGCTTACTATGATTGACACTACGGCCAGTGGCGGCTTGCTGCTGTTGCTGGATATGGCGGCCTGGTGGTGTTGTTGCTCCTGTGTTCACCCTGGGGAATCTACCTCCCCCCCTTGTTCACCCGCGGGGGGATAACCCGCCCCCCTTGCTCACCCGGGGGGGGGGGTCTACTCCTCACGTTGTTCACCCGGGAAAGGGGGGGGAGGAGAATCTACACCCCCTTGTTCACCTGGGGGAATCTACCCCCTTGTTCACCTGGGGGAAATCTACTCCCTTGTTCACCTGGGGGAGGGGGATCTACTCCTTTGTTCACCTGGGGGGAATCTACCCCCCTTGTTCACTTGGGGGAATCTACCCCCCCCCCCTTGTTCACCCGAGGAGGGGGAGGGATTCTATCCCATTGTTCACTTGACATTAAATATACTCTTCTAAATAGCTCCACTCTTAACATTCGTTATGTCCACTCCCTTCCTAGCCACGAATTCATTTGGTCTCGTATTATCCAATTTCATGGCTGGCGGAGCACAGTGGGGGGATGGATATGTCGACAAAAACAAAAATTTAGTGTAATCTTAGAATTTTATGGAAAGGAGCCTACCCTGCCGAGGGAGGGAGACGTCCTCTCCTCAGTGCAAGACAGGTGGGGAAAGCTTGTCTTACTACCTAACAATCAGGAAAATTCCCCCTCACTGTACAGACGAGGGGTGAAGTTTTAAGTTGCTTTTTGGAGACCAGATTGGAGACCTACCTTTATTTGCCAGCAGCAGCTAAAGCACAATTTATAATTCTTTGCAGAGCTATTTCTTATTCTCAAACTATTCTCCTCCGGAAGCGTTGATGAAAATTTAGACATAATAAGTACTTCTGTTGTGATATCATCTTCATTATATTTAGAGTACAGGTACTTGTGAAATGGAGCTTGTGTGATAGCAAGCTTTCAGTGACAATAACAATGTACTGTACAAACACGCATTCCATATACAATGTTTCTGTATACATGTACATACATGTACATACATGTACAAACGCTATACGCGTACTAGTGGCTGTACAAGAATGTAACAACTCTTGTATATATCTCAAAAAAAAAAAAAAATGTACCTGTATAAGGTAACAAGAGATATCAAAACTGATACCACAACTGTTCTAAATGGAGTGTTTTAGCGAAGACTCCCAGCATGCCAGCTTAACCCAATCAGACACACACAAGTACACGTTGGAGCCCAAAACCGTCAGTAGTTTCAAAGTGTTATACGACAAAGAGTACTGGCAAGATGGGACACCACAAGTGTAGCTCTCGACCTGTAACTACACTTAGGTAATTACACACACACACACACACAGGTATGAGAGGTATGAGCTACGAGGAGGGACAACGGGAATTAAACCTCACTTCGTTAGAAGACAGAAGAGTTAGGGGGAACATGATCACCACATTCAAGATTCTCAAGGGAATCGACAGGGTAGATAAAGACAGGCTATATAACACAAGGGGCACACGCACAAGGGGACACAGGTGGAAACTGAGTGCCCAAATGAGCCACAGAGATATTAGAAAGAACTTTTTTAGTGTCAGAGTGGTTGACAAATGGAATGCATTAGGCAGTGATGTGGTGAAGGCTGACTCCATACACAGCTTCAAGTGTAGGTATGATAGAGCCCAATAGGCTCAGGAACCTGTACACCTGTTGATTGATGGTTGAGAGGCGGGACCAAAGAGCCAGAGCTCAACCCCCGCAAGCACAATTAGGTGAGTACACATGTGCAACCAGGGTTCTAGAGGGCACGACTACACACACACATTCCGTTGCTGGCCTCGGCTGCCACTGACAAGGTGCACACACACACCATCACTGACCTGAGATAACATCACGGGTATCTGCCTCCCCTCCTCAACCAACCTTCATCTATTTTCCAGTTAACGTAGAGGTCAGGGGAAGGCGAATTATGACAGGAATGTTGAAGTGATGATAGGAATGAAATAGAGATACGAATGTTGAAGTGCAGATAATGTTGATATCGGGATAGGAATGTTGAAGAAATATCTTTAGCATTGAAGTGGCAATATCAATGCTTGGTAACATTGGAATTTTGAAATGGAACTATGAATATTGATGTACAAGTATATAATTGTAAATGTGAATAATTTATTTGCACGAAGATAATAACTTTGTCGAAAAGCAGTAACTATTTCAATTACAGTACTATAATAATCATCATTACCTAATTACTGTAACAAGAGGTATCAACTGGCAAAAAATCATGTAATTAAGTGTTGTTAATTCATCCATTCTTGCATGCTACAAAGACTAAGCATTTATTGAGGGACAATACAATGGGCGAAAACGGTTGCTATTATGGAGGTTATCAAGGACCCCCCCAATTCATATCTAGGTAGATGGAAGCAGTAGGTACTCATCAAATAGGTAGATGGAAGAAGTGCAAAAATCACAATCAAAACAAAGTCAACATGAATTGGCTCACCAGTATTTAACAGGGATAAGGATAAACGAAGGGTAAAGGTTCAAAATGGTGGCCATAGGTGTTGGTAAGAGGAATGTTCCAGAGGGCATATGGACAGTTAAATTGGCATGAGAGGAGGAATGGTTTCGGTAAAAGTTCTGGAAGTACAGTAGCTTAAAATCAAGAAATAGAAAGATGGTGAGCGAGATAAAACGAACAGACAGTATACCGTATATTCAAGTATATCTGAACGGCAGTGGCGTGGACGTTTGACACAAAGGGTTAATAAAGGTAACATCATACGTACCAGAATAAAAGAGCAGAGCAGAAATGCTAGAATTACCACTGAAGGGTAGTGGTTACATCAAAAATAAAATAAAAATATAACCACCTAAGTGACCAGGACTAAGACCAAGCATTAGGTTCCTCAAGTCAAGATACACAACAGAGAAAACCTGGAATTCAAAAACTGAAGTTCAGTCAAATCTGAATCAAATAAGCATATACAGTATTCTGTTGAATAATATATACCGTATAAGGTATATGGATTAATTCGTGGAGATCTAACAGGCACAGAGTAATGGATTCAAATAATTTTCAGGTGTAGTGTGAGACTTGGTGTACTTTATCATAATGTTGTAGCTAATACCCACAACCCCACTACTTGGCTAAGTAAGCAAGGCCTGATTTGCTTAACAGCCCGAGTGATTCTTGTTACTGTATTTTCAAATATTTCTTTCAAAATTAATTAATTCCTAACAATATTAATACCGATATATTAGTAACATGAATTACTGACTTACTTAGGTTAGGTTTTGACTTAAAAAATCTCAAGTCATATATGATACAATAAAACATTCATCATTTCTTAATAGAAAACTTTTGAAAACTTCAATTTTTTCCAAAATATTTGCTTGGTTATTAGATATGACACATGTCGTACCTACTAGCCAGCAGCATGTTCATGAAATAAATTTGTCAAATATGTTCTCTTATGAAATAATAGTTTTCATTGCGCTATACTGTATATGCTTTGGATTTTTCTTTTTATTCAAAACTAACATAGGAACTTGATCAACCCTAACATAACTAAATCGGTAATTTGAGATACTAATATATTAATATTGTTAGGAACAAACCAACTTGGAAAGAAATATTTTAAAATAACAAAATTCCTCCTCCTGTTAAGCAAATTGGACCTTGCTTACTAAGCAAGGTAATAGTAGTAGGCATCCATCAGTCTCAGGAGACTATGGAGTTGCACTCTGGTTGTCGGTCTGGAGTGGCCTCTCCAGGCACAAAGCCAGGGTAGGTTGATATGGAGAAGCTGTTACCCAAGCAGCAGGTCCCCCGTCTCCACGACGTAGAAAGTCCCTAGTGGTAATAGCATGTCTAACTATTAGGTACAACATGTACACAGAGGTTTTCCCCATATCTCTAAGTATAGTCAGGCTCCCATGATTCTAAGGACCTCCTTCAGAATATATGTACCAAAATTTACAATTCTTGTGATGTGGATTTTCAGTTATTAATTTTGGTTGGTTTTCCACTGCTGTAGACAGACGCAGATAGGCACCTACATTTAAAAAATGCTTTTTTATTTGTATTGACAAATTTCCATGTACTGTATTCTTACTTTTATTTGCTTCTGTATGAGAAATGGTATTAAAAAGTTATTTTGTTCTTAGCAATATATTATTAGATATCTATTTACTATGAGGGTCTTTGAAATGGTGAGACATCATAAGATGACAACAAAAGACAAAAGATAGAATGCGCAGATTATTTAACGCACCAATGATACTCATATTGCCCCCCCCCCCACCAGTGCTATATAGTCATGATGGCTTGGCACTTTTTTTTTTTTTTTTTTTTTTTTTTTTCCCAGATTTTCCAGATTCCAGACAAGGATTTTTCCAGAGCTTAGTGCTGGTTATTCTAATCATAAATAGCATCTAGACATGTAAGAAGTCAATAAACAACCATACAGATTTTGATTCTAATTGCTTAAAAACTACTTTCCATACTTGGCAGACAAGGATTTTGCTAAGATATACATTTGTTTACACATATATAAATTCTTATTACTTTCTTTCAACCATTAAAGCTATGGGAATGTGATCAGAAAGCCCTGCCATTACACTGCAGAACCAAAATGCTGAGGGTGTTGCCTCGTCATTATGTCTTGCTATCAGGTAGTCTATCCGCCTCCGGCCACCTTCTCTCACGGCACGTACTCTACCTGATGAGTCTGCCTTCGGTGCAATCCACATTAAATCAGGAGCCTGTTCCTATAGAAATTATTTGATTTAATAAGAAATCAAACTTAAAGAATATGTACAAAAGAGGAGTAACCCCACAAAGCTTTTGAGAATGAAACAACATTGTCGATATAAACAGCAGCAAGGGAGACAATACTATACATGGGCAAAACAGAGGGAATATTATGAGAACACGATTGATATATAGTAAGTATGATAGTGCTTCTATGAGTTGACACGTCAGAGATGTAAGATAATACTCGCATGCAGTGTTGTGTTAAGCAAATAGAATAACTTTAGAGCACAGTGATCTATGTCCTTGGCTCTCAACTAAGGGGTTCAATTCCTGGCCAGGACATAACACTTGGGCCCTTTGCCTTTCACCTGATGTCTCTGTTCACCTAGCAATAAAACAGCTGCATAGGTGTTAGGCAACTATTGTGGGTTGCATCCTGGGAAAAAGTCAGTAGTTGAGCTATAGGGCAACCTCAATAAGGCCACATACAGGCTTCCTGTCCCTGATAAACTTAATTAAATTGTGTCCATTTAAACCTTCAAGAGCATATCAGACGGTACATGAATAATGGGAGGCATTAATGCACCAGGTACAATGGCTATCAGATGGGTCCCAAGAGCTAGGTCTCACTTCCTATAACCTCAGGGAAACAAATGCATTCATACCAGATCAACCAGGCTGTGACTCATACGTCAGGCTGTGAGCAGCCACGTCCAACAGCCTGGTTGACCAGTCCAGCAACCAGGAGGCCTGGTCAACGACCGGGCCACGGGGATGCTAAGCCCCAGAAGCACCTCAAGGTAACCTTAAGGTAACCTCAAGGTATACTCAGACAAATGGTCTTTAATATCTGCTGCACAAGCCAAAACAGATGAAGCTATCTTTTGTATATCATTACGTATATCTCTGTGGGTCAGTTCCAATGAATACATTTATCAACTTCAATTAATTTTTCAAGAAATTTAGAGTCTTAAGAGGTTTAAGAGTCATGGATACCCATGCTGAACTAGAACTAAATATTCTCCCAAGATCAGCAACACACAAGAGTTTCCCCCACAAAGTGAGGTTTATGTACACTACTTATTCATCAAACATGAGATTATAGGTATTGAACAGTATATTGTCTTGAAGTATTCTGCCCCCGTTTGGACAATTCATTTTACTAATCCACTTTTATAATATATTGATCGTGTTCTCAATTTCAACAGAATTTAATTCACTTGTCAGCCAAGTTTATCATTTGTAGAATTCCTCAACCATAAATTTTATGCACACAAGTTTAGTCTCATAATTTCTAAATGCATGGATTACCTTCTTTACCAATAACAGAGCCTTGGCATTATGAGGCAAAATGAGGGACTAAAATACTACTAATAATATATATGATTAGTCATGTCTTATTTCTGTATAATAAATACTACATCTCAATACTGTATATAGAAAGTACAGGTACTCAAATTACAGTACCTTTACATCAGCATCCAGAATGTAATGTCTGCGTTGAATATCATCAAGGAGAATTTTTCTAAAACTTTCCGGATTTTGTGCAATTGAATGGTGAATGAGACACTGACGAAGCTCTGTGCCGATTGTCCAGGGTTTGTCATTTCCCGCACTTTCCCGGCAGGGATCCTCATACTCGTCCCACAAAGGCAGATTTTGAGTCCCAACGTCACCTAATAAAAGAGAATAAATGTTTTGGCAAAATCTTCATTTGTGTCAGGCTTTGATTGTGGACCTCATTTTTATAATGTATAGAAAACCCAAGATCTTCAATAAGTTTTATCTGATCAAACACTACAATAGACCCTCCAAATCCAAATCATATTCCACCCCGATACAAATTCATGCGAAATTCATAGCTTAAGAAACGTCCCTTTCTTGGCTATTTATCCCCCCCTCCCCCCCCCAAAGCTTCTTATTACAAGTGATACAATACATGATTAAGAGTATTTAAGTATAATACACAGTACAAACAATTATTTTCAATGTATACTATATAAATAACAAATATCCTTTCCAAATTTTGAGCATACATTTAGTCACTTATCTTCTAGTAGAAGAGGTGAGTCATAATATACCAAAATACAATTACAGTACTATATAATGCTACAGTATGTCATGCCATCTGTTGAACTTCAACAGCTACCCTAAACTGGCCACAAAGTCCTCAAGGCCCACAATTTGTGCCATTCTTGCAGCTATAGACTTTAACTGTGCACCACAAGCAGCCCGGCAACAATGCTGTGCTAACTATTGGCAAACAGTATCATCCAAATTCTGATGATTACAAGATTAATTGGATTTTTTTTGCTCATGAACTACAGGACCTTCTTCCTTTGCATTTTATGTCAGAAACAGTACTTCAAAATACAGATGCCAGACATCATTGCCACAGGAACATATTTCTCCAGTTATATAATGCAAGGAACTTTCTCTTGCCTTTTTGTACCAATTCTATGATTGCCAGATAACATGGATTCAACTTGCAAATAATGTAACATATCCAAAGAAAACCCAGTCAATATGCTCAAGTAATTTGAAGTTGAATCCCACTCACGCACAAGTTAAGAACATCGTCGGTACACGTACCCCTTCAGTAGGTTTGGATGCCACAGAAAGAACATCACATTTATAAACTCTTCTGTACAATTTGTACATAATTTGTACACTTTGGTTCAAGCTTAGTAAAACATTTCTAAAATATAAATATTATTTTGAAAAATATTTACAATTAAAAGAGCAAGTTTAGCAAAAGTAGAAAAACAAATATGATCTGATGGAAATTACTTTATGCGGTAAACTGTTAATCCAGTTCAGGACTGGTTTAAGGAAGTTTCCAAGAGTGCGGAACAAATACCCCAGAGAAGATATTCGGGTGGTAATTGGTCTATACTGATGACACCTAGCAAGTGGTTGCTGCACCAAGGATAAAGCACAACTAAAGCAAGAAAAACTGACCTCAACTGGCATGCACAACATGAAGCATTCAAAGCATAAAACCCATACAAAGAACAACTCAGCAGTAAACTTAGCTTAGAGAAGTGGTGTGGTCTTCTCAAGAAGGTGTCATGTACATCCCTAGGGTTTTTTGGATTAGAAAAATACTGAGAAAAATACGGGAGAAAAATACGGGAAAAAAATACGGGAGAAAAATACTGAGTAGTTTGGATAGTTGTTTGGCAATCTGTTGTTTCCAAGTATTTTTATTATTATTTTTTTTTTTGGGGGGGGGAGGGGAATTTAATGTTCTGATATTGTATTTTTCTTAGTTTCTGATGGTTCATCTCTGTAGTGGGTTGACCGCTAATCCCCACAATTCCATCTCCAAAAGGAGGGGGACAACTGTTGAATAAGGTAGGTGTCCTTAGTGTGCCAAGAATGCCACTGGGAACCTGGCATGGTCACAGTGTCCTATTTGTGCCAGTTACCGAAGCTGAGGGGGGGGGAACTACCAAGAGGTGCGAGCCCACAACAATTACATGTACACTCTAATGTTAATACAATTACAGTCCCTTGTTTAAGTCCCTCAATCAATTATCAGTATTAACAGCCAAAACAATTATCAGCTTACCTGGAGACAAATTGTCACAATTGAAATCTCCTCCAATTATGGCAAAAACCACAATTTCAGTACGAGTATTGTGGGTAGTCTGGATGAAGGTGTTCATCCACAGTCGTGTCTGCTCCAGCTGATGGACCAGCACTTTATCTTCTCCTTGATAGGCCTGTTAAACCACATTATTTCCTACTTTAGAGACTAAGACATTGTATGGCCAAAATGATCATTAAATACACTTAAGTTTTAGCTACTTGTTTGATGACCTTATAGTGTAAATATCAGAATTTCTGCAAGGAAATCTATTTAAATTAAAAGAGGTAGGACAAGGGGCCATCAGTGGAAGTTGCATATGCAAGTGAGTTAAAGAGATGTAAGGAAGTTTTCATTTCCTGTATTGGTAATAGAAATGTGGAATGCTTTGAAGGAAGTGGTTGTTGAGCCCAATTCCACCCACAATTTCTAAAACATACATGATGAAAACTTTAACAGTGAGAGGGATAATTAGCACACCAGGTACAAACAGCTAGGTGTTTGTACCTGGCTAGGTGGTAGACCAAAAAAAAGAGCTAGATCCCACGCCCCTGTAGTCACTGATAGTTAAGCAATAATAGGTAAGCATTCTTGGAACTTTAATGAAGAGTTCAACACAAATCTTAATTTGCAACAGCACCAATAAAAGCTGTACTGATTCTACTCCTGACTGAAATTCATGTTAATAATTTATTCATTCATGTTAATGTTAAAAATAGACTAGGCAACATTTTTGCATTCAATAGATCGCTTGTTATACCTCAAGTTCAATGACCTAATACTTGAAGCTGCAACTGGCTCAACTGTGTAAGACAGTCAAAAGCAGTTCACCTACATATTGTACGTTAATTGGTAAGATAGCCAATAGGAACTCACCTGAGTGTGTAGATTAGCTACATAGCCAACAGCATGCAGCTCCTCATTCCTTTTTTTCAGCAATCCCAAATCAAGCTGTACACAAATGGAATTTTTGTACTTAGCAAAAGTATTGTTAGAAATGTATGAAAACATCCAAACTAATCTAAAATTAATAATGCTATCAATATCACCTTCATCTCTCTCTATTTATTTAAAATAGCAAAGAGCTGATGTGGTTTGCCATGTTGACATTTATTGTTCCCGAGGTCATCTCAAAGATGTCACGAACGTCAGGCTGCGAGCAGTCGCATCCAACAGCCTGGTTGATCAGTCCAGCAACCAGGAGGCCTGGTCGACGACCGGGCCGCAGGGACGCTAAGCCCCGGAAGCACCTCAAGGTAACCTCAACGTACGGTAAGACTATCAGTGGAGCAACTACAGGTATTCAGATTGGTCAGCTGATGGCCCCAACATGGCCGAGGCTTTTGAGTTTTCAGCTGGAACAGATTGGTTATGACTAAGGAGATGAGGATTTTTTTTTAATTGGCAAAGATCCTACTTTTGGTATAGAACAATCATAAACTGCAGACTAAATAATACTGCAGATCTGGGAGTTATATACAGCAGCTTACTTAATTATTACTGTTTCTAGTATACCAGCTTACTGATCTGGTGAATCGGACAAAATCCCTGACGCAAACAGACATTGTTTGAGCGAGTTCACACTATATCTAAGAAACACAAATATTTGGCATGTATGAAATAAGAATACTTGCTTATTAAATCCAAATTAAAAACCATAAAATTATGAATTCTCAATAATGTCAATTTAAAAAAAAATTTGTAAGAAGTTAGCAAGGATTGTCACTACAACTTTATTATAAGATTTTGAAAATATTTTGAACTTGCACCATGCCTATTTTTGTGTTCACTTTGGCACTGAGCATTTGATTCTTACCTTTGTCAGAAGCATTCCATAACTTAAGAATTTACCAAACTTTGTGCAGTAAGTAAATGGATGAAAACAGGCCTCAAGTACAGGATACCGAGATGCTAAAAACAGCCCACTTCCTGAAAATAATAAAATTTCAGTTATATATTGACTGAAAATTTATGTTTTTCAGTCAAACATGAATGCTGAGAAATGCAGAATAAGGATATCTGAATAGAAATCCAGTATAATCAACACAAGTTTTATATTAAACTTTGAAATAATGCAATTTGTTTGTGTTGGTAGCACAAGTGGTCTACACCTTTCACTCACAATCAAAGAATCCCAGGTTCGTTCCCCGGGTTGGAGAGAAATGGTTGAACACATTTCATTTCACCTACTGCTTCTTGTCCTCTAACAGGAAATAGATACCCTGGAGTTGGGCAACTGTTGTGGGGTTGCATCCTGAGGGAGGTCAGTAGTTGGCCTAGGCCGACCTCAATTAAAAAAATGTAAATCTCAAGACATTGTTCTTAAAAGAAATGTTGACTCGGGCCCATTAAATGTTGCGGTAGAGAATATCTAGTGAATGAAATTGTTCTATAATTGCCAATGTACATATTTCAAAAATCTATTTTAGAATTATCTATCTATGAAAATCATGACCTGTATACTAGATGCAATAGAAAGTCAACTTTTTTACAATATCAAGAGAACTGTAACTGACTTACCGAGACAAAAATAGTTGGTTTCCATACAATGTCTGCCGACGTCATAAATAATGAAGGGGTACTTCTGTTTCAATTGCTTAATTAATGTTACTCCAATGACCCTTTCAAACACTTCTTGTAGGATAAACACATCAACATCTGGAAGCTGAAGACAAAAGCATCAACAATATTAAGCAGACAGATCACACCAACATTTAAATTGCAAACATTTGCCATTCATAAAATTTGTGATTCAAAGGGCCAGTAGGCAACACTAAAGACTGAACGCTATCTAAAAAAACCAGTGTTGAATGTAATGAAATGCCGTTTTCTGGGAAAGCCCCAGAGGCTCCCTGAAGCTATCCGAATTGATATGTGCTATATTAGTTTGGGGTCATCAGTCACGGAGTCCTTATGCCTACCAGGGACCACAAACCAGAACCTGGCCCCCTCGGAGAGGCACAGGGAGCAATGGCCTATGAGAACACTTTACATTTAAAGTATATCATAATTGCCATCGACCGGGGTAGGACCCAGAAAGGTAGGTGAATCAAAGCAGACCACTGTCTGGTTAGCCTGCACAAAGCGAGGAGAAGAAAGAAAATAAAGAATGCAGTCCAAATACCAAGATGGCTCAGGCGGCGCATGAGCAGGCCAGAGATAAAAAAAACGCATGAAAAAGCTAGCGGAAGTAAAATCCATCCCGAACGCAAATAGCAGCGGCTCCACCAATACCACGCAATATGAAGCAACAGTAATAGGCATGAAATGCCGATCTAGAAAAAGCCGAGAGAGAAAGGACAAAACAACCTGGTTCAAAATCTACGAAAACCAACGAAGAGAAAGAAAATGATGGGAAAGACTGCCAAGAAACTTCATACTGTCGCTGAGAAGACGACAGCAGGTGGGACACCATCAAAGAAGTCACCTGATCAACATACAAATGGCGATACACACGCATCAGAAAAACCAGATGTGTAGTGCAGAGCAGTAAGGAGAACCGGCGAGGTACAGTACTTCACTGGCCTGACCTGCTGACAGAGGTGGAGCCGCGGAAAACTGCCCAGATTCGGATACCAAGCAAGTAGCACCTGAAACCAAGGCTGGGCCGGTCTAGGCTGTAACAATTATTAAATCACTGTATCATTGTCTTCTGTATATTTTTGAAAATGAAAATTATTATTAGTTCAAAATAAATCTAAGCGTTATTGTAATATATCTACTCTTTAATAAGCAAAAATTCTGTGTTTAAAACAACCTTTATGTTAGCTTTCAAACTGATATGAAATGCTGAGTGAATCAGCTGTTTATCCAAAGGTAAATATTGTCCATTCAGAGTGCATAACCTTGAGTAAAGGAAAAGAATTACACGAGAGTTTAATTTAAGATTTCACAGATGGTTTTCTAAAGGTGCCGAAGAAGAGAAAGAGGGAATCAATACTGAAGGCATATGATAGAATCAAACCAGCATCCCCTGAACGCCTCAGGTGCACACACTACCAGCTGAACCATGATGGGCTTACAAGTATCTCATTGTGATTTTGTTTTGCAAGAGTGAATGGTTGTCCATATGAGTTACAAAGGCTATTCTTGCACAAACCTTTTAAATCACAGACAATGAAAGAGAATAAAGATAAAATTATAATGAATTAAAAAAAAGTTAGAAGAGGAAAATGTATCTAATAAGTGAAACTTTCTTACACTGAATCACATAAGGAGCCATAGATGTTCACTTGTATCTTCACCTCCCTGACCTCACCCCCATTCAACTTTTTAGTAATAATTCTTACAGGTGAAACAGTATCTGGATTTCAGCAGTGCAGTTGGATTCGTTCTCGACACCCAATTGGGAATTCTGAGTTCGAAGCCTGGGTGGGACAGAAATGGTTGGACACATTCCCTATCTCCTAATGCCTCTGTTTACCTTGCAGTAAAGAGGTACAGTACCTGGGAATTAGTCAACTTCTTGTGGGGTTTCTTCCAGGGAAGGGGTCAGTAGTTCCACCTTTAGCAAACTTCGACATACGTCTAACTTGTAAACATGTATACACAGACAGCCTGTCCCTGACAAAATGAATTATTATTAAAGTCAACTTACATCTTTATGTTTCTCTACACTAATAACTGAACTTACTAGCAGAATACAAGGCTAAGAATTTGTAGAGTAGGAGTTAACATTCATTTTATGCAAGTGAAACTACAAAACAGGAAAGAGTTGCAATCATTATTCTGCATCATTCTGACATGTACATTTCCAATGATGATTAAGTTAACCCTTAAACAAAGTGCATGTCTGAAAAAGAGTTAACAAAACAAATGGAGAAAAAATTGTGTATGGCAACTGGAGCAGTATATAGGTTAACAAGATTAGAACAGTGTAAGGGTTAACAAGATTATAGCAATTTAAGGGTAAAGCATAATATATGAAAACTTGTGCTGCTCTATATTAAGACTCCTACCTTACTCTCGACTATAGCTTCTCTATTCACTGGAGTCTGAAGATTCTGTTTCTGGTTTAGCAATGGATCTTGACACAGAAGTCTCCTAGCAACCTCAAACACCCTCCAGTACACATTCCTGGTGAGAAAATCACAATGTGGTGAAAATATGGCATACAGTATAATAAAATATCCCCATGCTGCGCAGCACCTCACTAGCTCACCTGTGTGATACAGTACTGTACTGGGCATTCCAGGTTCCTATGACTTCTCATTACCCACCATGGACAAATACCTTTTCAAACAGCTTGACCCTCCATGGGGGGGCAAGAGGAGTCTGCACATTTTCTTATTTTTAATAATTCACAAAACATTCAACTTCTTTTTAAGTATTATTTGGCAACACACACATTACAAAGCAAAACTCTGAAACTATTTACAGTACAGTTCGGTTCGATCTCGACTCACAATAAAAAATTCCGGGTTTGAATCACAGGCAGGACAGAAATGGTTGGTCACATTTCCTATTACCTAATGCACCTTTTCAACCAGCAGTAAGTAAGTACCCAGGAGTTAGTCAGCTTGTTGTGGGGCTGCATCCTGTGGGGAAAGTTAGTAGTTCCATCTTGCGGGGGGTGGGGGGGGGGGGACCTCGATATAAGCCTAACATATATATGGTTATCTTGAGATCTTGAGATGATTTTGGGGCTTAGCTTCCCTGCGGCCCGGTCCTCGACCAGGCCTCCTTTTTGTAACACACCCCCAGGAAGCAGTCCGTAGCAGCTGACTAACTCCCAGGTACCAATTTACTGCTAGGTGAACAGGGGCATCAGGGTGAAAGAAACATTCTTCCCATTTGTCTCCACCTTCACTGGGGATCAAACCCGGAACCTCAGGACTACGAATCTGACGCGCTGTCCAACCAGCTGTTAGGCGCCAGTATATACACTGGCTCTTTCTTTACCAAATTTTACTCAAAATCTTCTCTCCTGCCCTATTCATTTATTCAATCTATATTAAATGTGCACACAATTTTACAGCCATTCCCTCCCAAAATGACCTCCAAAAGTTGCCTGACCTAATTTCCCTCAACCTCCAAACAAGAGTTCTGGCTGGTAGTAAACCAACAACAGAATCCAAAGCTGGACTGGGGCTAGAATGTCTTGTTGCCCCACAGAAAACAGCACGATTCTCTGGATATCGGTGAACCTGTGAACACAATGAAACAAGGGGTTTTGTCCTAGATTTAAAGAAGAGAAAAAAACTAAAAACTAAAAAACAAAAAATAAAGTTTCCATAATAGATGAGAAAATAGGTTTAGGCTCTAGAGCAGCATTGCTCAACCTTTTTACCTTTAAATTAATTCTGGGTCGTACTTTAGATACACACACATGGATTTCATTGTCAATTTAATGGAGACGATTTCTGTCTTTACACTTGATACTGGTTAACAAGAGAGAAATTAAAACACGAAAATGACTCAAAAATACAATTGCATATGATTAGAATTAGACTATTTAACACTACATATCTCATGTGGAACACCTAGTTACCTTGGGGTTCCACGAAACCCCAGTTGCGAAACGCTGCTCTCGAGACTACCATCTTGAGGTTATCTTGAGATGATTTCGGGGCTTTAGTGTCCCCGCGGCCCGGTCCTCGACCAGGCCTCCACCCCCAGGAAGCAGCCTGTGACAGCTGACTAACACCCAGGTACCTATTTTACTGCTAGGTAACAGGGGCATAGGGTGAAAGAAACTTTGCCCATTGTTTCTCGCCGGCGCCTGGGATTGAACCCAGGACCACAGGATCACAAGTCCAGCGTGCTGTCCGCTCGGCCGACCGGCTCCCATACTTTCACTTTTACCACACTCTGCTCAATAAAACACCTACAAGTATTTGTCATAAATATTTAAGGCATCCCTTTATTATCCAGCAACAAGTACACAACATCAATAACTCCAGAATATTTGGAATATGCAATGTTGCAAAAAATAAATCTCAAAAGTTTGTAAGAAACAAGAACCTAGTGGGTATGGTCACCTGATGCTCCCAAGAAAGCAGTCTACTCGGGAATTAGCACGGGTAATCTATGCTAATTCAATTACCATTAAAATTCACCCATACACTTTAAAACTTGGTACTGTATAAAAGTGTCATTAAATCTGTATTCTGCAATACAATACAAATCAATGGCTGCCTGTATTATTCAACAAACAAATCTTAACATACAGATTCAAACATAGAAATGAATGATATAAACAATTCAAGATGAAGAATTCACTTATGATTTCCCACTATCAAGGACAGGAAGTCTGTAATTAGGCTTATTGCGGCACCTAGGCCAACTACTGGCCTTACCCAGGATGAAATCTACCACAATTGCTTAACTTCTGGGGTACCTATTTGTGCCTAAATGGACAGAGGAATTAGGTCAAATGAAATGTTTCGAACTATCTCTGTTCTGTCTGGGGATCGAACCCAGGAACTCTTAGCAGTGCGCTGACAATATACAGTACATCACTAAAGGTCATCTTTGACTTTATCATACCCCCCAGATGATGTAACAATTTCAATTTTTTCAGTGTATCAATGAACAGACATTTTGTGGCCTTAAGAAACTTTAACCTACATGAAAAATATTGCTCACCTGTTTTTGTTTATGCGCACAAAAATCTCTGGACTCAGGATGACATTTGCAGAGCAAATAGTGAACCTGGATGGACACTGGGACTCTTGACGAGGATTCTGGTTCTTTGGAGAAACATAATAAAATGGCTGAATGTTGGTGAATAAGTTGATAAGCACCCACATAATGTAGCCCACTGCAGCAAATGGAGCTGTACAAAGTGTTAGAAGGAAAAGAATTGGGCCCAAGACAGCATACCTAGAAAAAAAACAGAAAAAGAAATTACAGTAATCTTTATTTTGTATATAATTCTTGTTGGCAGGAACAGAAAGCTTTTATGTACTTATGTTTATCAAGGTCTTCCCAGTCTAACTACTGACCTATTCCAAGATACAACAATTGCCTAACACTCGGCTACCACTTTCAATATTTAATATCACACTAGTTTCTATAGAACCTATCTTACCCTGTCAAAGTAGGAGAGACATAGGTGTGTGTATATATATGTGTGTGGATATGTGTAGGTATATGTGTAAAATGTATATTTGTGTGTATTTGTATACACGGTATGTGGAAGCTGGTCAGAATTGCATTTCTCCTTTGTAAAGGCACAAAATGACACTATGTAAAAAGACACCTCGAACACAGTTTATGTAGGACAGACGTAAATCTGTGTATTTATATTTGTAGGTTAGCTTAGCATTTTAAAAGTACATACTACAATCACCTTCTGTGGTTGATTGTTCAATAAATCAATGAATTATATGTTTAACAGATCTCTAACCCTCTCCATGGAGGACAGAAGAAAATGTATAAATGCTGATTAGCATTGTAAATGTGTGGCCACATCTGTGGTAGAAAATAATAAAAAAAACTGCTAGATGATGTCATGATTCCATCCTAGCTTAGAATATGACCCCACCAGCATGAGAGCTGCTCTCATTCTGTCCCCTTCTTTTCCATCCATTTATTTGTTCTGCCATCATGTTAAACCTACGCAAACTTAAGGTTTAGAGTGAATGAGATTTTGTGGTTGTTGGGTAAATTTATTGGTAATTAGGGATTAGAAGGCAAAGGCTGATTCCTGCCATTGATAAACCATGTAGGAACATTCCAGAACTCAAGGGCAGGATACGGTCGTGGAGACAATTCAAAATGCTAAGCATGTGAATTGATCAGCACAAAGTAGGGTCAAGATGTCTTACAAGGGAGCACGAGGATTGGCCCAGATGCATCATTTACTTAGGATATATGAGCAGGACCGCATCGCATTTGCCAAATTGATGATGTGTCAGTTGGACAATATCCATCAGTGAGTGGGGGCTGAGGCTGATCTCAATGGACAGTATCTGTAGGAGCTTTATTATGAGTGCCAAATAGATAGACAAGCTGCAGTGACCATGAGACAGACCCGGTTTAAGTGGTCTAAGTTGTCTGTGGTGGGGAAGGAGGTTTTCCCAAGAGTGTGGACGTTATCAAGGAAGGGTAACTAATCTGCAAGTGCAACAAGGAGGTGGCCAAAAGTCTGTCAAGTCGACAGATTGAGTTTCGACCAAGAACCTAGTGAAAAATCTCAATAGCATAGAGTTCAGATAGAGTGTCGAAGTGAATGGAACTTTGACAGCTCCCCAAATGCAATATCTGTTTGTGTGCTTGTGTATGTTTTACATTAGCTAGCTGGCAGACCAGAAGAGCTTACGCATTAAAACAGTTGGGGCTATGAGTGAACCCTAAAGAATGGGGGGAACTATAGCATCATTCAGTAAGCAGTGATAAATCAGTAGGATAGCTAGTGGAGGAGTTCCAGACAAGAAACATGTTAAGTCTAGCCAGAGCAAAATCATAAATTTAGTCAAGTTATTTGTGTGGTCAATGGTTGTGGGCCCAAGCAGTGAAGAGTGGCTAACCTAAACAATAACAGCAGAATATTAGATGGTGTAATAGTGCCAGTGTTTTAGCAAGGGTAGTGTGGACGATCCTGGCACTAATAAGTGAGGACATATATAGTGAAACCTGTGAGTACGTGACTACATATCTAGAAGGCAGGCACAGTCTAGGGTGCAGGTAAATTTTTGTTGGTATCTGAGGTCTAGTCATGCCTCACTAGGAGGTGGAGGCCTGTGTGAGGAGTCGGCAGGAAACAAAGACACAAATCCAGGAGGTCACCAGCAGCTGAGAGAACGTGTGGCCATCAGTTGTAACCATGCAAGGTTCTTGTCCAAAGGCTACAAGTGGACTAAGGGCATATTGGAAAATCGTCAGAGCAACAAAGGCGATTGCTTGTATACAGTATATAATATTGACAGAGCTGGGAGAGTAGTATGATTGAATTATTTTTTTTTTTTTTTTTTGGGGGGGGGCAAATACACATTAGTTTTAAGGTTAGAAGTACAGTCAGGTTGTGTTTAGCATGAAAAGCTGAATCTAATGATATCCCTCAAGGCAGGGAAATAAGGTTATTTCAACATAAGAGTATCAGGGCTATTTATTTTTGGTGATAATAGCCACAACAGCCCCAGATGATGTTTCTCAATTTATTCCTTATTAATTATTTTTGAGAGTTCATACCAATGCTATATAATATATATATATATATATATATATATATATATATATATATATATATATATATATATATATATAGTAGCCAGAACTCACTTCTCAGCCTACTATTCATGGCCCGATTTGCCTAATAAGCCAAGTTTTCCTGAATTAATATATTTGCTATAATTATTTTCTTATGAAATGATAAAGCTTCCCTTTTCACTATGTATGAGGTCAATTTTTTTTTATTGGAGTTAAAATTAACGTAGATATATGACCGAACCTAACCAACCCTACCAAACCTAACCTAACCTATATTTATAGGTAAGGTTAGGTTAGGTAGCCAAAAAAAGCTAGGTTAGGTTAGGTTAGGTAGGTTAGGTAGACGAAAAAACATTAATTCATGAAAACTTAGCTTATTAGGCAAATCGGGCCTTGCATAGTAGGCTGAGAAGTGAGTTCTGGCTACTAGGTACGACATATATATATATATATATATATATATGTCGTACCTAGTAGCCAGAACGCACTTCTCAGCCTACTATGCAAGGCCCAATTTGCCTAATAAGCCAAGTTTTCCTGAATTAATATATTTTCTCTAATTTTTTTCTTATGAAATGATAAAGCTACCCATTTCATTATGTATGAGGTCAATTTTTTTTTATTATAGTTAAAATTAACGTAGATATATGACCGAACCTAACCAACCCTACCTAACCTAACCTAACCTATCTTTATAGGTTAGGTTAGGTAGCGGTAAAAGTTAGGTTAGGTTAGGTTAGGTAGGTTAGGTTGCCGAAAAACAATTAATTCATGAAAACTTGGCTTATTAGGCAAATCGGGCCTTGAATAGTAGGCTGAGAAGTGCGTTCTGGCTACTAGGTACGACATATATATATATATATATATATATATATATGTCGTACCTAGTAGCCAGAACTCACTTCTCAGCCTACTATGCAAGGCCCGATTTGCCTAATAAGCCAAGTTTTCATGAATTAATGTTTTTTCGTCTACCTAACCTACCTAACCTAACCTTACCTAGCTTTTTTTGGCTACCTAACCTAACCTTACCTATAAATATAGGTTAGGTTAGGTTAGGTAGGGTTGGTTAGGTTCGGTCATATATCTACATTAATTTTAACTCCAATAAAAAAAAATTGCCCTCATACATAGTGAAAAGGGTAGCTTTATCATTTCATAAGAAAAAAATTATAGTAAATATATTAATTCATGAAAACTTGGCTTATTAGGCAAATCGGGCCTTGAATAGTAGGCTGAGAAGTGAGTTCTGGCTACTAGGTACGACATATATATATATATATATATATATATATATATATATGTCGTACCTAGTAGTCAGAACGCACTTCTCAGCCTACTATGCAAGGCCCAATTTGCCTAATAAGCCAAGTTTTCATGAATTAATTGTTTTTCGACTACCTAACCTACCTAACCTAACCTAACTTTTTCAGCTACCTAACCTAACCTAACCTATAAAGATAGGTTAGGTTAGGTTAGGTAGGGTTGGTTAGGTTCGGTCATATATCTACGTTAATTTTAACTCCAATAAAAAAAAATTGACCTCGAACATAATGAAATGGGTAGCTTTATCATTTCATTAGAAAAAAATTAGAGAAAATATATTAATTCAGGAAAACTTGGCTTATTAGGCAAATCGGGCTTTGCATAGTAAGCTGAGAAGTGTGTTCTGGCTACTAGGTACGACATATATATAAATATATATATATATATATATATATATATGTCGTACCTAATAGCCAGAACTCACTTCTCAGCCTACTATTCAAGGCCCGATTTGCCTAATAAGCCAAGTTTTCATGAATTAATGTTTTTTCGTCTACCTAACCTACCTAACCTAACCTAACCTAGCTTTTTTTGGCTACCTAACCTAACCTTACCTATAAATATAGGTTAGGTTAGGTTAGGTAGGGTTGGTTAGGTTCGGTCATATATCTTCGTTAATTTTAACTCCAATAAAAAAAATTGGCCTCATACATAGAGAAAAGGGTTGCTTTATCATTTCATAAGAAAAAAATTATAGTAAATATATTAATTCAGGAAAACTTTGCTTATTAGGCAAATCGGGCCTTGAATAGTAGGCTGAGAAGTGAGTTCTGGCTACTAGGTACGACATATATATATATATATATATATATATATATATATATATATATATATATATATATATATATATATATATATATATATATATATATATATATGTATGTATGTATGTATGTATGTATGTATGTTTTGGTGATCATTTATAGCCTAGCAGTGGTGTACCTGGTGTAATGAACACTTCTTACACCCCACCATGTTAGAGTGAACAGAGGTATCAGGTCAAAGGAAACATGCCAACCATCTCTTTTTCACCCACATACTGTATACTAAAAATAAACAAGTGAGGTTCAAGCATCCACACTTAACACACCTGACGATAACGATGGAGAGTGAAGATTTATCAAAATTGGTGAAGCAGTAGCACGACAAAGATAGCGAGATGAGCTGCTGAAATGGGGTCATCAGGATGCAGGTGAGCGTGTCCAATGCATCCCATGGCCAGTGGGTATACCGCGACGCTCTCGGAGCTCCCATTATAACTAGGTCCTGAAAGGTAAACCACTTACGTGTCATAAATATGCTATATATTAGCACACCATTTGTTAGAGAATGGTGCGCTAATACATGTACTACAACCTACTGTACATGCAATACCTATATTAATAATACAATAATTATCAATACATTATCATTATTAATTTGTGTTGGTATCAATACATTATCATAAATAATTTATGTCATCAGGGCAGTCAGGTTACACATACAGTACATATTAGGCATATGCGAACAAGCCTGAATGGTCCCCAGTCTATATATTAGGCATATATAGACTCGCCCTTCCTCCCCAGGGTCGAATTACTGATACAACCACTCAACAAGCAGTGATAAGATTAGAAGAGTACAGGACAGGTTTGATTAGAATAGTACAGGACAGGTTTCATTAGAATATGATAGAGCAGGTTTCATTTGAATAGGATAGGACAGGTTTCATTAGAATAGGATAGGGCAGGTTTCATTTGAATAGGATAGGACAGGTTTCATTAGAATAGGATATGACAGGTTCGATTAGAATATGATAGGACAACCAAACCCAAAAACAACCTAATCCAACCCAAAAGCAACCTAACCCAATCCAAAACAACCTAACCCAACCCAAAACCACCTAACCAAACCTAATTCAACCCTAAACAACCTAATCCAACCCAAAACCACCTAACCCAACCCAAAACCACCTAACCCAACCCAAAAAACCTAATCCAACCCAAAAACAACCTAACCCAATTCAAAAACACCCAAATCCAACCCCAAAAAACCTACCTCAACCCAAAAAAAACATATCCAACCCAAAAACAACCTACCTTAACCCAAAAACAACCTAACCCAACCCAAAAAAATTTAACCCAACCCTAGAGGCGCGCCAACGCAACTCTGGCACTAACGTGTGCCATGAGAGCATCCACCAACTTTGCAGGCACCACACTGTCTTCTGGATGATGAGATGATAGATCAACTCCCTATCATGACATACTCTGCAATAAAGAATTGCACATTTATCTTCCCCATAATCCTCCTCAGAGTCAGAAACTTAGTCACTTGGTGCAATGAAGACGGATGGCACTAATATATATTTGTACCCATTTCGGACACAAAATTTGTACGTTTCGTGTATATATTGCAAAATATACATTCGTGTGTGTATATTGCATTGGTCAATATTAATGTTATTAATAGTTAAACTCTTCTACTTAACAGGGATATAGTTATAATAATAAATGAAGTTGAGTGATGTGATGGATATAAATCTGGTGTTTCATAAGAACGCCGCTGCCAGTGTTAACATTCCACATCTGAAGACCCACAAACATGGTCGAACGTACAACATACCAGACTGTGGCCAGTTTTTGGGAAGAATACTATTACATATTTATACTTATATACAGTATAATAAAATGTATTAAGGGTAAATGCCCAACATATAATATTAATTAATAAAAACAAAGTCAGAAGCCACATGCCTGTCACCACATGTCTTATATGTTTATTTTGGGCACTCTTATAGTTGTGCGCTAGCTGGCGTTCACAACTGATCTCACCTTCAGGGGCGAGATTTAGTCAGTCATAATGATCATATTGTTTATTTATTTTGGCAAATACATTTCTGGGCCCACTTAGAAATAATGACCTACTTCAGATCTAATGGTATGAGGTACTTTGAGCTCTGTAATTTCTTCATACACTCAGGAATATTGGAAGATATTCTTGTGCTGTACCCAGATTTTGCAAGTGGGGCTAATGTATCAGCCTTACATTTTATGTTCTCTCCTGGTTTTTAGTCAGAGTTAATTTGTTTTTGTATTGAGGCTGGCATTTTCCCTCCCTGATTCTGTGTATGACTAACTATAACAAACTGTCTTCAGACAACACACAGCCCCTCTTTTTAAGTACTGTATCTTAACATGCTAAACATACACTCACTCCGCACATTCTCATGTGCTATTTACACGCAGAAACCATTGTTCCTAAATGTTAATTTTGATCTGAAACTTTTCCTTGATAGATGTAATAGAACCCATGAGCACCACACCATAAATAAATATCGTCTTGATATCCCCAGAGTCAAACTAAATCTGTGTAAGCACTCCATGCAAATAAAAAGACTCGGTCTATGGAACTCACTCCCTGATGAATTAAACAATTGTCCAACCAATGCCCTATTCAAAAGTAAAACCAAAAAGTATTAGGTACTTTTTGGTTTTACTTTTGAATAGGGCATTGGTTGGACAATTTTTTAATTCATCATTTCACCCTCATAATTTCCTACCTTGTGCTTCAAACTCACACTGTAACTTGTACTACCCACTTCCCCAATATTGGTACTTAAGACATATAGCTTTACCAGTGTAATCACCTCTGTCAATTTATATGATTGTTATTTATTGATATAAAACCTTGCTACAATGTACCTTTTCATCTTACCTGATATGTTAGATTAAGGACTTGCCCGAAATGCTATGTGTGTTAGTGACTTTGGAAAAAAGTAAAATTATCATTAATGTAATCTCATCATCCCATTGTACTTTCTTGTAAATTAAATAGTATTATTATTATTATTATTAAATAATATATAATACTATATAATATAATTATTATTAAATAATTATATTAAATAGTATTATTATTATTATAAATTTATTATTATTATTATTATTATAAAAGTGAAACGCTATGCATGTTAGTGGCTTTACAAAAATGTAAAAACATCAATGCTATGTACTCTCATAAATCCAGTGTACCTTCTTGTATATATATAAACAAAAAAATTAAAAAACATCGCTACTCCGTCTATCTGCGTATACATGTCTCCCCAAAGGGCTATGAATGGGGGGCCATCTTGGTGCAAATCTCCAGAAGATTACGGAGGGCAGACTCTGGAATGTCCAGATTTGGAGTAGTATTGTCACAGTAGATTCTGTCTAACATTAAGTTGATGGTGTCTACAGGAACCTTCGTAAATAGTAATTCCATGTCTAGATATGCTATAACCTCTTTTGATTTACTGCTCTTATTTATTTATTTATATACAAGAAGGTACATTGGAGGGTAAGAGAGAACATAGAAATAAAGTTGATTTTACATTCTTGTAAAGCCACTAGCTCTTCACTATTTAGTGCCCTAATAGTAAATAAGTAATTATCAAAAGAAGGCATCAAGCCGGGAAGGTTATGGCGCCACCATCAGACAAGGGTCAAGCAAACACAAGTCTCTGATCCACACACACACATATATTTATGTAAAAAATATATTCTATAACTGTACAAACCCAAGGAGGGCGAGAGTCCGGTCTCTTGTTTACCTGCCAGTGCTCCTGTCCTGGTCGGTTGCTTCTCCTTAACTCCTCTCTCATTTTCTCTGATCTCCGCCGTGTTGTAGGGGGGCCTGAAGTCTCACTCAAAATGTAGTGATTTTTTGGCCAAGTCGCTACAATTATGTCTAAGAAATCGGCGACTTATTTCAAACCGTACTTATTTGGTACATATGGAGTCAGTATACTGTTGAGTTGTTTAGCTAGATTATACGTTGGGATCGTAGAGAATTACCTGGGTTTTGACATTACCGTAAATGAATCATAGGTTGTAGTCACCTACTTTAGATGCTGCCTTTTTTTTTAGCATTAACTACATCAATTATACAGTTGATTTTCTTTTCAGTTGGGTTTGTGGTAATCCTCTTGCATTTGGTCTCATCTGGGAGGATTTTCTTTTAGTTTGGTGACATACTCATCATAAGTCGGGATGAGAACGAAGGCTGCGGTATTATCGGCTCTCCGGATTGTGATGATCTCTATGGAATTAAGTTGCTGAGGTGCTTCAGCAGCCCAATTTAAGACTTTTTGTTTTAAAGGCACAACTGAAGACTGTGTTTATTATCTAGGGTGTTATTCTTGTAGTCTTCCCTTGGGGAGACATGTATACGCAGATAGACGGAGCAGCCATGGGGTTCCCACTAGGAGTCCTTTGCTAAATTCTATATGGGAACACTAGAAGACGCCATCTTCAACACTACAGGAAAACCTCACATCTACTGCAGATACATCGATGATATATTCGTATGAGTGTAAGACCTTCTGGAATCTACTTATCCAAAACTCAGTGCTTAACTTTACCCAAGATTACCCAGGTCATCTCAAGATAAATAACCTCAAGATAAGATGAGCTCGGAGGCATGGATGGTACACTCCCTTTCCTCGATGTCTTCGTGAGAACCAAAGAAAACACTTTGTCTTTAGTTCACACAAGTTTATACTAAACCCACCAACATTGGAACATGATTGGGAAGGTCATTCCACATTCTGGGTCCCTTGATTTGTAAAGCATTTCTAGTTTGATTAAGTCGTACTCTTGGAATATCAAAACTGCATTTGTTTCTGGTGTGGTGCTCATGGGTTCTGTTACAACCTTCAATGAAGCTTTTGAGGTCAGGATTGGCATTAGATGAGGGAGTAATAGAGCGTTACCAGGGCAGGGCGAGGTACATAATATCTGATCTTAGAAAGAATGCCAACAGTTTTTGAAACTTTTTTTTATATATTTAGAATGTGTCCCTGGAAATTCAGTTTGTGGTCAATGAGAACGCCAAGGACTCATTGTGAGTCCTTGGCCTTGAAGAACAGAGGTGACACCGGCACAGTCAGAGAACGCTGTGTGAACATCAGAGGTCCAACATACTCCCATCGAGGGTAACAAATATTGCCGCAACAAAAGTGGACATCTTCAAGATAAAAGTAAATGTAAGGTTTTGAGGCTAAGTAACGAAGATAGTTACAAGATACGAGCCAGATATGAGACTGGGATTTATTTCTCGAAAAGTTAGCAATAAAATACGCTTTTTAGTTCTTTATTTTTAAATTTAAGACCAGGGATGCTGCCTAATGAAGCTGCAAGCTAAAACACCGTTATCCTATAATGTTCATCTGTAGCTTGACCCTAAACACTCGTTTATTAAACGAATTTATTGTTAGAGTTCATTAGGAATCAATTTTGTTGAAGGCAGAGTTTCCAACAAATACCTTTCTGTGATTGGTTGTTGCGGGGAATGCCAACGCTTATATGAATAAAATGCAAAATAAGAAATACGTCCTTATGCTCAATAACCTTGTTGTTGTACAAAAGAACAACAATTTCTGTTTTATACAAGACAGACATTTCCATCTAACTGAATAATGTAGACCAATAAGAGGACGGAGGCATTGTATCGCCGATATTATTTGTGTGAGGCAACTCCCACTGATGACGTCACAAGTCAGGTAGCCAGCCCATGTTTCTGTAACACTCGTTACATCCTGCAGTATTTAATTATCACTATATTAATACTTTTAAATACTTAACATTTCACTTTTTAGGTAGATTAAAATTGAAGCAGAATGTCATAAGCAAGGATGGTGTGCTGAATAAAGAAGATTTATTAAGTGGATGGAGCCTTTAGCTGATCCCTTCCTGTGATTGGCTGTTGTGTGAATGTCAACAAAGAGTTTCTACCAATGATATGCCATTTATTATGCACCACATACCATCTGTAGGCGGAGCTTGGAACCTCCTACCCGAGCACAGCAACCCGCCTTATGGGTTGCTGTTTGGCTATTTATAGTGCGTTGGAAAAAAACTAGATGGCGTTAGTTGTATTTTGTAGGGTAATTTGTTATAAGTGTAATTTGATGTCAACAGATGGCGTAAGCTGTATCTTATGGCCACTGTTGACCTGCCAGTTGATAGTCACCTTCGATTCAACAGAGCAGAGGAAGTTGTTAAACACATATGGCAAAATCTTACTGAAGCGACCCTACGAGTCATACATACTCATCCTCCGCCCAAGTAAAACAGAAACAAGCATCACTTAGTGGGCCAGCCAGAGGCTTAGGGCCCGCGCAGGATTATCCCTGCTAAAAAGAATAATAAAAAAAAAAAAGTTGATAGTGTTCTCTTCTGCCGACAGATGGCATCAGCTGTGTTATTATTACTTCCGAATTCCCTTTAAACACTGATCTACAAATCCCTTGGCTTATGATAAGGTTTTATACTATTTATGATAAGTATTAGATAACTGGAGTTCCGCAATTACTTTTATTTATCAACTGTTCAGGATATAAATAAATAAATAAATACTAGCCTAGTCCTTGCACAAAAATTCTTTCTGGAGCCTCACCCTTACTAAGGCAACAACCTGGCTTTGTTTTTCACCTCGAACACTGTTCCTCTTTGCCCAAACAACACTATCATTGTTGAGCAATAGATAATCAGGATCAAAATAAGTTGGATACTTAAACACTATGACCTTGGTGTGTATCATACCTTCTTCCGGAGTAACCATCACAATATTCTCAAACCCATCCTTCGTTAGGTGTTCCACAGCCTCTTCTGTCCCAACTGTTATATAGGGCCGGTGAAGACCCTCCTTGAATAGTGGTTCATATTCAAAAAAACTCCTTAGCCAAACGAACCGTCCACTCCAGCTTTTGATGAAAATTCAGTTGACACGCTGTAGGGAACAACAGCCTCTTCCTTCCATTAGTCTGCATCTCCCGCGTCCTGCTGAGCATGGCTTCATTTTTTTGGTCTGTTATTTCCTCCTCACTGTCTCCGTCTCGCTGTCTTTGAATATTTCGCCGTTTATATCTGTTCACTTCTGCTTGATACGGCCTGGTATCATCCCCACTCTCACACTCTCCAGGCCCAGTGGGGCAGGATCGTCCATCACCTAGGCAGACCGCCTCAACCATTTCCTCGATACACAAAGGCACTGTATCACTGCAACAGTCGAGAACAAATTCACAACATTTAGCTGCAGCAGCCACGTGCAAACACGAAGAAACGCTTTACGTAATAGTGGCTTTAGGCATTGTATGTACTAGCTCTATCTATTAATCCTACAAACTTTGTAAAATATCTTGTATGTATGTACCTTACCTAAATAAACATTTATTTATTATTCATTTATAAGATGCGGAGCAACACGTCCTCCTCGCATCATGCAGCAGACCGCACTGTAACATGTAATATTAATTAATAAAAACACACGCCTATCTCCACATGTCTATTGTGTCAAAGTTGACATAAAAAGTAGAAGTAAAGTTAAAGTTGTGTTCTTCTGCCCGAAACGCTAGGCGTGTTAGTGGATTTACAAGAATGTATAAACATCAATGTTATGTACTCTCATAAACCCATTGTACCTTCTTGTATATATATATAAATAAATAAATAAAGTATTTTGGGCGCTCATGTATTTGTGCGCTGGCTGGCGTACACAACTGATCTAGTCTTCAAGTAGATTTAGTCAGTCATAATTTATTTAGGGGGAATAAATTTCTGGGCACACTGATTAATAAAGGGCATCATTAATAATCGTAACATTATATTAATTCATTTTTTGATATCCTCCCTCTGGCATTCACTTAGCAACCATTCCACTTCTGGTAGTAGCTTAGTATACATAGCTTAGTTAACTTCTGTGACTCATTTAACCCATACTTGTGTAAAGGAGGAAATGTATATGTTTATCTCTCAGAATGTTCGGTAATACGTTTATTGCTTGTGATGTGTGTCTATGTATGTATTAACACGATGTACTGAACGGGGTGAGAATAGCTTGAGCTACCTCATCCCTTTGTGTGTATTTTACCTCAATAAACTTATTTCAATTTCAATTTCATTTAACCTATAATTAACTAAGACTATGATTATTGTTTACTTAAGGATTACATTCACACTTCACAAATGTGTGCAGTGTGATTGACAAATGTGTCAATCAATCATCGGGAAGAATGTACGATTGCGAGTTACACGAAAGTAACTAAGCTATAAATAATTGTAATTAATAATAATTGTAAATATTAATTAATACTAAATAATGTTATTTAATAAATTAGTCTCAATTCAAGGCAGAGTTTTCTTCCAGGCACAGAAACTTGTAAATATAAATACAAGATAATAGATAGATCGATAAATAAATAGACAACTTTCACATATTGCACCAAGTAATGGCGAGAGGGAAAAACTAGACAGTATACATTACATTTGAAATTAATAATGGATGAATGGTAATAAATTGGTGTATGTTTGTATGTATACCAGACAAAGTTCATTTAATGGCAGAATTTAGCCATTTTGTGCAAAAACTTTTATATCTCATATTATTAATTATAACAGTAATCGAAAAAAGTCATAGTTTGTATACACAAGAGATGAAGCAGAGAGCCATGAGCTAGAGCGATGTGCTGAGTCCATAAGGAGGCCGAGCTTCCAGAAATACCTTCCTGTGATTGGCTGTTGCGGGGAATACCAACACTCTTTTATGAATAAAATTTAAACTAAGAAATAGGTCCTTGTGCACAACAACAAGGTTGTTGTGAGAATGAACAACAATTTCTGTTTTGCACCTG